AGGGGCAGCACGCAGCCATACGTTCTGCTTGGATTTCCAGCCACAGCGTTTCCTAATCCGCCGAGGAACAGAGCACAGACTGCGTGCGAGCTCCCTTCATTCTGGAAGCACGGCGCTGCAAACGAAGCGCAGCTCCGGCAGCTCAGAGCGCCTCGGCTGCTCACAGCCTCGCTTACCGCCAGGCTGCAATTACAACAAGGCGGGCCTGCATTCCAACTGGAAATTCACACCTTTAGGATACTCCAACGGGCGCGAAAGGCCATTCCAAAACACGGCAGCCTTCCCCTTCACCACCCCAGCAGCGCGGTTAAGGCATCGAACTGCGGACGGAGAAGGGCGGTACGGCCATCCAGCTCCCGGCGGGGCCGCTCCACGGCCGGACCGCTCCGCGCGCGCCGCCCGAGGCCCGGTCCGGTCCGGCCCCGCTTCGAGCTGCCCCCGCCGCGCAGCTCCCGCCGCTCCCCCACGCGCAGCGCCGGCGGAGGGCCGGGAGGCGGCGCGCAGGGAGCGGTGCCCGGCTCCTCTCAGCCCCATAGCCCTTTAAAGAAAGGGGGGGAAAAAATACACGCCAAACGGCTGCAGAAAGCAGCATCTCCAGCAGAACCCTCCCCAGAGAGCAGCGTGCCCAGCGCGCTTCGCTCGACCCCTTCCGCGGACATGGAAAAAGAGAAAGGGGACGGGACGTAAGCCATAAGCAAAAGCAACGTGCAACCCCGACCCCCAAGCGACCCCCACCCCGAGCACTGCGCGCTGCACGCACGATCCGATCCCATCCCGCGCCCCACCCCCACTCACACAAAGAGCCGCACACCGCACAAGCTGCGCCCCGCGCTCCAGCAGGAAGCCGCCAACTGCCGCAGCCCCCGCCGCGCCGCCCCTTTATAGCGGCCCCGATCTCGCGAGGAGACGGGCGCGGCGCTCCCGGTCCGTTCCTCCCGTCCCGCCTTCCCGGGCCGCCCGCTGGGGCAGCATGACTCGGCACAACGCGGCCGCGCCCGATAGCCGCCCCGCGCCTTATCTGTCCCGCGCTGCACGGCGGCTGCAGAGCGGCAGCGCTCGTCGCTTGGATGGCGGCTGGGCGGCGTCGGGGAAACAGCCGGCGGAATGGTTGGAAGCGGTTCACGGCGAGATGAGTCAGGTGGCTCGTTACGAGAAATGGCTTTAATACCTCAATAGAACCAAGCCGCAATAATTAGGAGTCATCGGAGACGGAGAGGAAGAATGAGATCCAGCTGGCGTTTGCCATTTAGGTGAATGGGAGTTTGTCACTGACTTCAGTAAAGTCATGCCTATTAACAAAGCACTGTGCATTCAGTGCGCGTTCAGTGCCATACAGGTGTGGGGTCAAATCTGCCTGCTGTTACTTTCTTAACTTCGTGTGGTAAGGAGAACTGAGGTCTATAAACAGATACTGCTGCAGCTCAGGCACACGGGAAGGGGTTACCCTGGAAGGCCGGGCAGTCCTAATTAACAGCTCTACAACAAGGCAGTCTCCCACAACTCCAGCATATTGCCAGCACACAAAGCAGTATTGGCTTTCTTGTGCTCGTTGTGCTCATTTGTCACACTTCCATGCATAACACCCATTTTGTAGGGCTACCACGATACACTTTGCTTTGGGTTTGTGCCTTTAGCATGCCCTGAAGCAGACGCACAGCTCTTGTACAGCAGAGCTGATCCCTGCATGCCTGTAAATGCTCTGCAGGGCTCGTCTCCACCTATACATAAAGCCCGATGAATTCTGAGCACACTGACCTCACTGTACACACAATATTCCTGGAGCCCAGTATGACTAAAATCCTGTATGTGTGGGGACATTTTAACATAATACATGCAAATTCGTAAGGCAACAGATAGGTGTTCCCAGGCCTCTGGGCAGTCATGCACAAGCAGCTGCTGCGCGCTACTTGTAATGAAAACAATTACCTATCATTCAACATACAAGGCACGTATTTCATTTTCCTTGTTTTGCCCAAGCAAAGACTGTGTTTCTAGGTCAAAATGTCCTGCTCAGCCTCTTCCTTCCTACACAGCTCTCTTCTTAAAATTTGGTTATTAACATACTTTATTACCACATGTCTTGATGGTGTCTGCTTTTTGATGGCAAGCCATTTTACCCTCCATTACCTTTTCTATTTTATTTCCAGTTACTGGAAGCTGAGGTTGGGTAAAATTTCATATGTGATATTAATATAATTCAGGAATTTTTGATTTTATTAAGATTTTCCAATGGATTCCTGATTGGCAAAGTCTCAAAAAATAAATGAAATCCATCAGTTTTCCCTTCCCATTTTATTCTTCCCCAATGTTCCATTTCCTCTCTTACTTCTGTCTTGTCTTTTCTGTGTCCTCCTTCCACCTCCTGCGTTATGTCAGGACAGGCTGCGCCAGGAAAGTCTGGTCATGTGAGTGCCCAAGAGATTAATTAACCTTTGTGCTTTTAAGTCTCCCGAGCAGTTGAAGTCAGAAAGAATCTGCAGCGGGACAATCTTTCTAGAAAAGCAGCAGGCTCCTCAGAGCCTTGTTAGATGTATACTTTGCCTTACTCTGATACAATCTCACCATTCTTTTTGAATTATTCACTTAGTTTATAAACTGCAAAAATGGAAGCCTGGAGTAAACGCCAAAGCTGGTTCTAGTATTCCTTAGAGGTGTTTAGGATGCTGCAAGCCTAGAGCAGCCATCAGCCACAGACCCAATTCTGTTCCCGTTGAAATCACTGCAAGTTGTGACTGCACCAGCAGGGCTGCACATACGCAGATGTAGTCATTCTGCTTTAATTTTGCTTGCAGCCTTCTTGTGCAAATAAGGAAGTGCATTCTTGTGCACCTGCAGCAGGAGCCTGAAGTCTCCTCAGGAAGTGGCACTTCTTTATGCACCTTTGAGTACGAAAGCTAAAATCAAATGCTTGTAAATCACAGAATCACAGAATTGTAGGGGTTGGAAGGGACCTCCAGAGATCATCGAGTCCAACCCCCATGCCACGGTGCGTTCCCTGAATCCTTGATAATTAGGACTGCCCATAAAACAAACACCAGCACAGACTATCAGAGCGGGAAGGGATCACCAAGCCCCGCTCCCAGCCGCGCACGGGACCCACAAACGCTGTCTGAGAGCGGCGCCCCGCACAGCGCCGGCCCGCGCTGCCCGCTGGCGGCCGGAAGCGGAAGCGCAGAGCGGCGTCGGCGGCCGATCGTGCGGCGGTGCGGTGAGTGCGGCGCGCTGCCCCGAGGCGCCTCCCGCCGCTCCACGCGCTGCGCCCACCGGGCATGGCTGCGGGGGAGCCGAGCGCGGGGCTGCCCCCGGGCCGGGCAGGGGACGTTGTTGCGGTTTTAGCGATACACGTCCGTGTGCGCTGCTGCCGTAGTACGCGCTATTTTGCAGGCAGAAGGCTCGTGGCTTCGGTTAACGGCGAGCTGGGTGTGGGTGGATGGACGGGCGTAGTTTGCGCTTCCTGTGTTACGAATGCAGCCTCCTGCACGCATTGCTTTGTGTTATTCTCTTTCGTGTCAGTGTGTGGGAATAGGAGAGATGAGTGATGTTGAAGCTGTGTCTCACTTGTACCAGCTGTACCTTTTTTTTTTGTATTTGCTTGTATTTTCTCCCTTCTTAAAAGCCCCTCGCTGCCTTATAATGAGCAGACAATGGGTCATGGACACTTTGCGTCTCCTCATTAGGGGAAGAATCTGAGTGGAAACTATTAATGAGTGTTTTCTTGTAGCGTTTCCATTCTTCCCGAGTCCGCAGCTCTGCTCTCACTGCAGTTTAATGTACAACGATATTACATGAAGCGAATGGTTCCACAGAACACACTGATGTTAGTTAGCAATTAAACGTGTGCACCTTGTCTTCTGGGTGAAGCGTTGCGTTTAAGATGATTGCACAACACGGCAGTGTGGAGCACATGCCTGGTGTATGGTGCTGCAGGGCAGCATGAATGTGAAAGCCCCCAGGCCTTAGTTGCACTGCGTGATGTCAGAATCATGCAGGCAGCTTAATCCAGGTAAGGTGGACCCAGCTGTGCACAGCTGGCAACAAAATGGCTGTGCAAATCTTCAGCATAGAAGAGAATGTTAGTGTCCTATTCTGACTTTTGTATAGCCCCTCCCCAGAATGGACACACACCAGCAGTCTGATGACTGCCTTTATACCACCATTCGGACTGAATGTATCCCAGTGCAAATCCAGGCTGATTTGTCCCACTATTCTGCACCAGAAGGTGTTGGGCCATTGCAATCCCAATAGGAAAGGCACTCAGACTCAGCAAAGTAGTATCTCAAGTGCTGTTTATCGCATTTATAGCCCTATAAAGAAGGCAAATTGTGTGGGTAATGAGACATTTATTCACCTGCTGGGCACCCTGTGTGCACAGCATCAAGCAGCTGTCCATGGCACATGCAGTGTGCTGTGTGGGCCCGTTGTTTTGGTTACTGGAGCTGTTACAGGATTCTCTTAGAAGAAAACAACTCACTTGTACTGCCAAACAGAGAAGACGCTCACGTGAGAACTTCCAGCTCTGTGAGATAAAGGCAAGGCCATGCAGGTGGCCTAATGACAGGTACCAAGTGGGAGCTGCCTGCGTGCTGCTCTGTTCTGCTGAGCATGTCCTGCATCTGTGAGGTGTGTGCAGCATGAAGGCCATGCTGTGTGCGAGGCACAATGCTGCTTGAGCCTGGAGCTACATAGGCTAACAGTGCTGGGGATCTCCATCTCAAAACACGTAGCTTGAGAAGCTGAGTGAGAAATTGAAAATATAAACTTTCTGTGTGAGGGCATCCATCAGTAGGTGCTTATTTGTAGGAGAAAGGTTGGTAACAGCATTATGGAGAAGGCTGTTTTGGAGCAGTATTCTGTGTGAAGGCTTCTCTTTGAAGATATACATTCCTCCTGCATAGTCAGCCATTTAGCCAGCATTGTGTTCTTCCACTCTTGTTCTTGTCTGTGTGTTTTTAAGTAAATAGCATTCAGGAGTTTGGACACAGCTAAACTTGAGAAGTAACTTCCTCATCTTCTGCTGAAGTCAGCTGGCTGCCTTTGGAGCTCATCCTGAATGTGGTTTGTTTTTAACAGTTCGGCCAGAAAGATAGATTGGGAGGATGTTGGGACACAGTATAAAAGCTTCCTCTTTGATAAAATCTATGAGCAGATTACTGTCTGCAGCAGCTATAACGCCAGCAACAGGTAATGGAAGGTCCTGCTGGGGTGTATTGCATTTCACATGGAAAATGCATGCATGTCCTGGTGTTAAGCATGACAGAAGCCCAAGCCCAAAGTGATGTTTACCTTGTGCAGTACTTTCATATTCTCCCTTTAGTAATAGAAGAATGCTACTCCCCTGTGAATTTGTGATAAATCAGTATTACTATTACCTTCTGTGATAGCAGTACTAGTTGTTATATTGTTTGTACTTGAACTGCATCTTAGGTAAGTTGAGTTCTTGTCAAATTGCCAGCAGAGTCCACAGGCAGATTTCCACAGCATGGGAACAGGAGACTTTTCAGCTCTTTAAAAGATAGCATCCCTTACCACTTGAGCAAGGAGATGGAAAAGAGCAGGATGACAAAGTCATTTTGGGGTTCAAAATGTGTAAACACATAAAGACCTACTGCTTTTTTGCACATGGCTGTTCATATTGATGTGTCAGAATTACTTAAAAATATGTGTTTATCACCAACTGCAGCAGTAATTAGAGCTTTTTCCTCAGTCAGCCAGTAGGGAGTTGGTAAAAGAGAAAGACTTTGTGCAGAAGTCCCATGGCCTTGCTTCTTTCTGTATCATCAATGCTTACAGCTGATTTGGAAGGGAGAGATTGTATGTACTTCTCAAGTGGGAGAAAACTCACAGCTATGCACTGAGAAAGAGATAAAAGAATAGGAATAAAGAGCCTTTCTTTCTAGTCTCTTTTATAGCTATAAGGTTATAGGTCTGGTTTGTACCACTAGAAGTTGTGAAGACCTTGCTTCAGCTTTGTTCCAGTGTAATAACTAAAGCATTATCAAGACCTGTGTGATTTTATTTATTTACTCTTGTATAGAAAAGGACATTTTATGTAATCTACTGAATTGCTGCAAAAACTCAATTTGCTCTTTTTCTTCTTGAAGCAAAAATGTCTGCAGGATGTGACTTCGCTGCACTCTACAATGGGCAGAAGATCCCTTTCATAGGACTGGGAACCTGGAAAAGTGAACCTGGCCAAGTAAGTAGGGAACAAACCACACATTAGCATTGTGTGCTCTCACCTGCTGTTTGCATTTTGTACACTTCTTCTGAAGATCCTGGGTCTGAGACCTGGATCCTGTACTTGCATGGTTTAGTCATAGGTCCACAGAAGCATGACTGAGATGCATGTGAGAGGCTTTAAGACAGCAGCAGCAGCAGTAGATCCCTTAAGACTCATTAAACCAGACCTCAGGCAGTGGTGCTCTGGGAGATGAATCCAGGAAGAGACCAATTAGTGCTGTAGTTACAGTATGGTGCCTGCCTTTGTAATCTTTAGGCTGCAGTCTGACCAGGCATCCCTCTGGCTTGATCTGGTGACTCGGTTGAAAGGATTATTTTGGGAGGCAAGAGCTCTAGTTGTTGCAGTCTTATTTGTGTGGTCTGTCTGTGTTTAGCAGCAGAACTCAGAACTTGTTTGGGTCACCTTCCTTTTAGGCTGTGATGGCTAACGCGTCATTAGAGAGCCACTCTGTTTCTAGTGTTTTATTGCAGACTGTCTGTAGGAATGTTTGCATGCTGTGGACTGTGCCTCCTGTTGTAATACTTTCCCTTGTCTGTCTTTTCCTTTCTTTTTAATTTAGTTAAAAGATAAATTCCGAGGGCAGACCTTGCCTTTCACAGCAGGTATACACAGAGTCCAGCAGGAGTGTCGTCTTCTTTGGAGGATTTCTTAATTGGTATTCTTCTTTTAATGCCTTTTGGACTTTGTGTACCACTGCATGTCAGTAAACATGTATCTTGCTTATGCCTTCATGTTAGCTTCATGATAGTTACAGGAGTAAGTCAGGTGAAACCGTGCCTGTGACAGATGGAAAGTTCAGAAGGCCTTCTTGAGATGAGCCCTTGTGCTATTCTTTCTTGCCAGCTGGAGGAAAAGGTGGGAAACAAGCTATAAAAATTACATCTATTCAGAGTCACCTTCTTACTATGTTTCCTGCCCAAACAATTGTCAGGACAGTGGTTCTGTTTGGAATGGAAGCTGTCATGATGTGGAACCCAAGGCAGTGTGAGCTCTCTGTCAGCTTGCTAAATGAGGATGAGAGTGAACGTTCAGCTCTGTCACATCAGCTGCCAGCTGCATTACATTTATTAATAAGCAGGAATGTAGTGGATGAATTTCTGCAGACCCAAGGTAGTTCAATGTGCGTTGTACTAAAACAAATGCCTGAAACTAAACAAACAAAATATCAGCGTGTTTCTTTGTGCACTAACTGTCCTGAGGAAAGTGCAGTCTTACAGCCAAGAAAGATCCTGCTTGTGCTTAATATAAGCCTATCTCAGGTAGATTTTGCAGTCATAAGCAGCACTGCCAGCAGCTGAAGCCAGCAGGGATCTGCTACTTAGATCTACCTGGGGTCCAACGGAAGTGAATGGGGGTCACGACTGTGGAACAATTACTGCCTTCAAAGATGTGTTCCTTGAGTGTATTGAAGGCATAATCTAGAAAATGTATAAATAGCCAGAGTTAGAGAAGATGCTGCTATTCCTATGGAATAAATAAGTTCCTGTTTATCACTCTTGGAAATTGTTTGCATCCTTTTCATTTTTAATGGACATTTATCAGATTCAGAAGCAGTAGCAATTTGGCAGAGCATCCGAATGGTTTACTTCTGAAAGGGCGTGATGGAGTACAGGGAGAGAACTGATTGTGAATTAAAGACCAAGGGCCAAAGACCCACACAGGCAGAATCATCTTTGTATTTGATGCAGCCCACTCCCAAATACACCCTACTTATCAAAGTCCCTTTTGTACAAAGGCTTAATTAGGAGCAAGAGTGGAAGCAGATTGCTTTTAAATTATTTCAAGTAAATATTTTGCAGGTTGCAGTTATTTTCTTTGCCAAGCTGTTTTTCAGTCTTGACCTCATTCTATTGATTAATTTCTTTATCATTGCCATTATAATTCCTGATCCTAAAGAATCCTTCAACTTGAAGCCAGATCTCAGCAATCCAGGACAAAGGTACCATTGCAGCCCCAGTTTCATAGAAGGTGAGGTCAGAGGGTAAAAGAACTAGTGAATCTATTAGAGATTATTTAGAATAACAGGAGAAAAGGCAAATGGGATCCTGGGCTCCATCAGGAGAGGGGTGGTCAGCAGGGACAGGGAGGTGATTGTCCCTCTCTACTCGGCTCTTGTGAGGCCCCATCTGGAGTACTGTGTCCAGGTGTGGAGCCCTCAGTACAAGAAAGACATTGAGATTTTGGAAAGGGTCCAGAGGAGGGCGACTAAGATGATCAGGGGGCTGGAGCACCTCCCCTATGAGGACAGGCTGAGGGAGTTGGGCTTGTTCAGCCTGGAGAAGAGAAGGCTGCGGGGTGACCTCATTGCAGCCTATCAATACCTGAAGGGAACCTACACCCAGGAGGGGAGTAAACTGTTCAGAAGGGCTGATAACAGCAGGACTAGGGGAAATGGTTTTAAGTTGAAGGAGGGAAGATTTAGGTTGGATGTTAGGGGGAAGTTCTTTACTAGGAGAGTGGTTAGGCCCTGGAACGGGCTGCCCAGGGAGGTTGTGGATGCCCCGTCCTTGGACGTGTTTAAGGCCAGGTTGGACGGGGTCCTGGGCAACCTGATCTGAATGTGTATGTTTGGTGGCCCTGCTAGGCAGGGGGGTTGGAACTACATGATCCTTGGGGTCCCTTCCAACCCGGGTGATTCTGTGATTCTGTGATTCTGTGAGATAATTTAGAATAGCATTAAGTTTTTTTGCTTGATCAAATGCTAAGAAGAGAAATTTGTTTTAGATGTTACCATAGGAACATGATGGAGAGTTATTGAGTGGAAATGAATACAGTACAAAAGCTTCTGAGCAGTAGCATGAATGGGTCCAAAGACAAAAGTCCTTTGAGACTGGAGCATCAGGAATATCAGTGGCACGGACTATTAGCACTGGAGCTGTAATCCTTTAATGTTTTGTTCTCACAAGTGGGCCACGCTTCCAGCCTGGAGGATGAAACGGCCTCATGTGCTGTGACAGAGGCTGGCTCTGTTGGGACAGGGGATGTGGGGCTGAGGAGGGCTGTATTTCTGTGTGAAAGTTCAGGAAAGCCAGAAGTGGAAATGCATACCTCAGAAAACCAGTCAGGCTGGGCATCTTGTGACAGCACTGCAGTTGTGGAGGAGACTGCTTAGGTCCTGAAAACCTTGCCAGAGTATCTAGAGAATCCTATCCTGCACATGGGAGCACAAATTCTCTACTACTGAGATATATTGAGGGAAGAACTTGGATTATATATCCGAAGTATAGGAGGCATAACTTGCTGCTTTGGGGAACTGCAAGCTACCATTCATATGGTGGTCTGAGTTCCTTCCTTTGCAGCAAACTGTTTGGTCATGCTGCACCTGAATATCACGTGGCCTGATGATCTGTTTTTACTTAAGCTGTCTGACTCAACCAACGAAAGGAAAATTAATTCAGTAATTGCTCCTTCCACAGGCTGCACTAAAGGAAAGCTGAAAGGATCCTCTGGCTGTTATTACCATACAACACAAAATATCCTGAGGCATTTGAATCTCAGCATTATGCTGAGTCTTCCCCACCCCAGGAAATGCATGTACCTGCATGTCAAGAATACAAAAACTTTCTCTTGAAACAAAGTGCTCTTCTTACACTCACATCCTTCTATTAGTTAATTGCCTCAAAGAAGTTCTTATTTGTACACTTGCTCTTGATTATCTGCCTTTTGCATGGAACAGGACTTCTCAGTTCAGATGGCAATGTCTGAGTAGACTGAGAATAGTTTGCACAAGTGAAACTGTGCCCAGATCCAAACCGTAGTTATGTGAGTGGTTCTAGTTTTTCAATGCTAGAAGTAGATGAAAATGCTGATACTGAAATATGGCCTCTATTTTTATAACTTCCCAGAGGCATTTGGAGTGCCTTGCCCCTGGTTTTCTGCAAGTGGTGCCATAAAGTTTTATGGCAAATTTTGTTCCTGCTCGGATTTATAAAATAAAAACCAATACGTGATAGAGGAAATGAGAGATTAGTTCAGAAAAACCCCATGCTGGTTTCCCTTTCCTTTCTGCTATGCTTTCAAAAATAAAAAGGAGGGTGGGCACACCCCAAATTAAACAGAGCGTGCTTCTTCCCTTTGACTTCCGCCTTTATGGAGGAGGATATTCAGCTTTAAAAGCCTTTAGTCTGTCCCAAGTGATTTCAGAGTTCTTGTGACCTTGACTTCCCAGTAACCTTCTGAGAAATGTCAAAGCGAAAGAAGGACTGTAAATACATCCTGCCAGAGAAAGGAAGAGCTGATTTCACTGCTGTAGTAGAAGTGCTTTGTCATTCTGGCTAAGGGCAACTAGTCTGAGTTCCACTTTTCCTCTCAAAATGCCAAAGAATGTAGTCGGAATATCCTGTGTCTGCTTTTACTGCAGTTCTTGACAGGAAAAGCAAATGAAATTCACCAGCAGAAGAGAGATCTCTTTTACATTTCATTCTCCCCTTTCTAGTTGTATCTGAAAGCAAGAGTCTGTACTTGATTTTAATCACTTTGTTAGCTTTAAAATTGAAAATGCTGGTACTTGAGCTGAAAGAAAGCAATCAGGCTCCAGCCCTTGTTGACATGTTTTTAATATCTCTAACTAGATTAGTGCCCTATCGCATCAAGCCTCAGACAAAGAGCAACTTAATCTCCATCAGTCTCACCAGACTGGAGACAGGTCTGGGAAGAGCAGTGTGTAGAAATCCTTGTACAGAGGTGTGCTCTGACTGTAGCACTTTAAGAGGTGAACAGAGAATGTGTGCATACCGACCACTGGAAGTTAAATAGAATGGATTTCACTTAATGCTCTGTCTGTTTAAAGGGAGATGGTGACACAAGAGTAATTTCTTCATGCTTACACAATCAGATATTTACAATTTTCACTGAAAACCTCTACTCAAAAGCCACTTACACATCCTGGATGAGATGCCATTCTGTGTTTCCCTCTTTGTTTTCTAGCCTTGCTCCGTATCTATTGCCAGCATGTGACTATATACTTTGTACTTGTGCTTCGTTAGAGCTTTCAACAGCAGAAACACATGCAAAGTGTGGTGCCTTGGTTCCAGCCATTCTGGCTGGTGGCAGCACCTTCTTTGTCAGAAGTGTGTAAATCAAAATGTGAAGTTGAGCACCAGCAGGAGATTCGTGCAGGCCATGGGTTAATAACCACCAGTGTAGTGACTGCTGTTGCTCAATCAGTGAGAATGAGACACAGAAGAAAAATGTGCCATAAAGTGGCCTTATCTTAGAAGGTAAATAGTTGAACCAAGCCTGAGCTCTGGAAATTACAAAATTAGAAACCTGGCTTTCCTTTTACTAGGGGAGAGCTCGTACCTTTCAAGCTTGGCTAACGTTGATCGATTGGCCGCTTAGTTCCACTGCGACTGTCTTGATAAATATTTGTTTGAAAATTGTTTCTTACAGCTCCTCTCATATGTAACAAACGTGTGGCAGCTATAGCCAAGAATGAATTTCCATTCTGTGCAGTAAGTTCTTCCATGCTTGCCCTGCATGCATGGTCCATTCTCACCTTACTCTTGGAGTGTCTGCTAGCACCTGGCTCTTTGCTCACAAAGGCTGTGCCATAGGGCACTCTTACCTATCCTGCTTGGGCTTCTGTAGCTCTGTACTTTGGCAGTGTTCCTCAGCAATTTGTTTCAGTTGTGTTCCTTGCCACTGGTCGTACTTGGTAATCTGTTTGTGATTACAGGTGAAAGAAGCAGTGAAATATGCCCTAAGCGTGGGTTATCGCCACATTGACTGTGCAGCAGCCTACAGCAATGAAGCAGAGGTCGGCGATGCTTTCCAGGAATGCCTCGGGCCCAACAAGGTAAAAACACAACAACCCCGTGACTGTATGTTGTATCAGAATTTACAGATGTGACCCGAAAGAGCAGACTGTGAATGTCTGTGGCTTTTCCTTCTGGTCCCAGCTGTTTGTTATTAACCAGGGCAGGCATGAAAGAGGGCTTTCTCTACTCTGGACCCATCCTGGCTGTCGGGAGGAGGAATGATTGCCTGGAATACTTGCAGGGAAGCTTAGAGAAAATGCCTTTTTTGAATTCCCAGATAAACACCTCCCCATCCAACAGCTAATTCATGGATTCAAAAATGAGAGGTTGCCAGAATCAACAGTTATAACAGAAAATAGGTGAGAATTTACTTCACCAGCTCAGAGTGTTGTGCAGTGCTGGGTAGCTGCAGCAAATTCAGTGACTGCTGATTTTTTTAAACAGTGGCTGCATTTGAAGGTTTGGTAGCCGTGACTCTAGGGCCTGCACTGAGCTTCATGGCCGTAATGGAATGTAACTGACATTCCTATGAATTATCTCAGGTGAAATCTTCAAGTCATCCTTTTGCTCCTGTTTGCCCGAGGGCCCAGAAGAATTATGCGTATGGCCTCAGAGCCCCTGGAATGAAAGTTCTTGTGTTCCTTCTCTGGTCCTCTGCCCATTGCTGTGGGGCAATCTCTTTGTTAGGTGCTTAGCTGCAGAGAGGCTGCTTTCAGCTTGCCCCAGGGATTCCTTTGCACCCTTTAGATACTGGCAGCTACTATGGAGAAGCATAGGACTATTTTTACTCAGTTTGTATTAGCTAACTAAAGAATTTTTAGAACGCTTTGCTTGTTGAACACAAGAGCTGATACGTGATCCACAAATATCTGAATGGCTGGAGGAGAGAAATGAAGGAATTAATCATTCCTACATACAGTCAACTTGAGTGTAATTTGGTCAATAAGAGATGCCTTCTGATGACTTCAGCGTGTCAGACGTGATCTCCATTTCACATTTCACGCTTCCTAAATACCCATATTTCTATTTGATTCAATTTCTGGGTCTTATCCTTCTGATATGAGACATTCAGTTCTTGCTGCATTCCTCCCAGAACTTAGAAATACAAGTGCAGAGGTTTGGGGAAACTGCTTGTTTATTTTCCCACGTCCTTCCTTTGAGAAACATTCTCAGTTTATAACGTGATGAACGTAGCAAGTGAGCTGGCTGTGCCTTGACTGTGAATTGTTTAACAGAAATTGCAAAACGTACACGTGAATAAACCAGTAATCTTTCATTTATGCTGAGTAGTGGCTTTAACTCTGGAATTTGTTTGCAGTGTGTGGAGGGGTTGCTTTGTTGTGTCAGAACTTGTAGGGAATTGCTCAGCGTTTGATGTATTTGGGGATGGGCTCACATATGTGTGTATTTCCCTTTTCTCCATCTAGCATGTTTCTGAAAGGTTTAATTTGTAGGTTCCACACGTTAACTTATTTAAACTTGTAAAGATATTTGGGGAATTGCTGCTGTTCTGTCTCAGCTCTCTCTGGTAAATTGTGCTCTCCTCCCTTTCTTAAAGGTTATTAAAAGGGAGGACGTGTTTGTAACATCAAAGCTGTGGAATACCAAGCACCACCCAGAAGATGTTGAGCCAGCACTAAGAAAAACACTTGCAGATTTGAAACTGGATTACCTGGATCTGTACCTCATGCACTGGCCCCATGCCTTTGAGTAAGTTCAGCCTGCAAAGGGCGCAGGATGCAGAAGCCCCAGTTTTACATAAGTGGTTGGCATTCTGTCCTAAGCAGCTTCTTTCTGATTTGTGTCTTCCTTCCAGTGTAAGCTACCTGCAGGATGCTTTTGTGGGTGGTGTATATTGTAGCCCAACAGATGGATACAGACCCCTCTCTACCTGCAACCAGTGCATTCATTCGTATTTGATACATTCATCCACAGAAACTATTGTTCCTATTTAATTATTCTTCTTTGAGTTGGCTGGGAATTTGTTGTACTTATCTATGAAATGAAAATGAAGTACTTTGTAAAGAGGACAACACCTTTCACTGATAGTTATTAACTGTACTGGAACTGGGCACGTGCAATGTCATGGAGTCTGTAAGAAGGAAATGAAAATGGCCTCTTATGACACTTGAACTGCAGTCATCCTAAGATTTGAGGAAATAGGGGAAATTAAATGCTAGTTCTGTGTATCCTACAATCCTGCCAGAAGCAGTGATCATTGCTTTGTTTTCTTGTAGTCATGGATACTGTTGTTTTTTTTTTTTTCCTGTTTCAACAATCAGTGAAAAGAAGAGAAAAAAAATTCCTTCCCAGCTGTTTGCATGGACACTTCACTTACCAGGAGAAACCCTGTCAGACTCAGAGGGCTTCAGCCTATTTTACAACCTTAAAACATTTTCCCCCTTCTAGTCATATGAACTGAATTTTTCCAAGCATACAACATTCATGAAAGACACTCCAGTTCTAAATGTGTCCCTCATCACAACAGAATGAGGAAGTGTTTTCTAGCAGGGCTGGACTGGAGGAAGAACTGCTATGAAAAATTCCCCCTATTTTGAAATAGGTTTGTTTTACAGTTGTTTGGACAAAAACATTTGAAGGTTGCTTTGATAATAGCACGGAACACAAGTAATGATGTCTGTGTAGGTATTGTTATTTGAACTGCTGCTGTTGTGGCAAATGTTGGCAAAACTAATGTTCAGATCTTCACCCTTTCTCATCGATAGAAGTGCACTCTCAGTTTTCTGTTAGCTCTACTTGTACTGTTTTAGTGCCTGATTACCTGCAGTGCCTACCGAGCTGGGAATGTTGCAGAAGATGTTATTTAAATGGAAATTAACATGGACTTCCAGATGGGAATCACAGTACCCTAGGTCTCGTGTATTAAGTGAGAGATACATTTTCTACTCTTGACATCTGAGACTACTTTTCAAGGTTGAGGGCTCATATGATTATCAGATGGATAGATGTACAAACAAAAATGATGTGCACAAGAACGGGGTCCCCAGCTGCTGTTGCACGACATTCACTGCTTAGCTAGAGCAACATAAGACAGTCTCAAGATCTGGGCTGGCAGTGCTGTGCAGTGGCCATGAGGCAGCGCTGGCACCTCTCCGAGCATGAGCTGCTCAGAGGCCTCACAGGCCTCAGGTAATGTGCTGCTGTCACCTGACACAACCATCTCCTTCCTGTGTGTGGCTCTGGGTCCTTAGTTGGTTTGTCTTTTATTGAGTTGGTATGACTAACTGGAAGCACACCCATCCTACAAGCGACATGCACGTGTTTAGGCTTCTCTGAAAACCAGAGCTTGCACCAGTGCTGACACTGCTGCAGAATCCAAAGAGTGGGAATACCAGGCTGCTTTGCACTCAGTCTCTGCTACATAGCTCTTAAACCAAGATCCCTTTGGTAACAGCTCCAAACAGGCTATCGGTCCTTCCTCAAAAACAAAGTGAACAACAAACTACTTTCTGGGTTGCAGCTCTAATCAACCTCACTGTGATCAAAGGGCTGTTGTTACACAGGCAGTGGCTGAACTTTTTTGTGTAGTCACTGCAGGCAAGCAGTGTGCTATAGGTAAGAGGTTTCAAGTACTATATCACAAGTTTACATAGGAAAGACTGTGTGTAAAATAATTTCTTGTAGGCTGAGTCTTCATTGTGGAATTTAGGAGAGAAATTTGCTCAGTTTGTACTCCAGCTTCCAAACTGTGCATAAGCTTAGGTATTCTTACGAGTACTTTGAATAAAGTTTCTTTAAGTGAAGATCTACTATAATAGAGATCGCGTGCCTTGTGTATTTACACTTTGCCTTTCATGCTGCAGACGAGGGGACAATCTCTTCCCTAAGAATCCTGATGGCACGATGCGTTACGACTACACTGACTACAAGGATACCTGGAAGGCTATGGAGAAGCTGGTAGAAAAAGGTCTTGCGAAAGCCATTGGGCTGTCCAACTTCAACAGTCGTCAGATTGATGATGTATTAAGCGTGGCTACTGTCAAACCAGCTGTGCTTCAGGTAAGATGAATAGAGGAGATGAGGACGAGGTGTACCTTCCTGGTTTTCCATGGGAGTGAAGAAAACCAATGCTGCCTGATTAATACAAGGAGTGCAGCTTCTGTTCTACAGGGAGGAGTATATCCATGCGTGCAGGAGTCACACAGAGAGTTCTTCCAGACAGGTGAATTAAATGGGAAAAAGGCCTGTATCCATGATCGTGGCCATTACACCTATTTAGTTGACAACTCTTCTGCAGAAAGGTTTGTTTCTTCCTCTAATGATCAATTTAGTCTACAGGGAAAAAAAAGATTGAGGGACTAACTTAAATCCCTCCTATAGAGCTCCCTTGCTCGTTGGATGATGTGCTGGATACATGGAGATAAATCCAGCACTCTAAGGTTAAGCAATCTGTTTTTCTTTTACTAGAATCTTAGGCTACCATGCCATTTTTCATCTTCCTTGTAGTTACAGCCTCATAAGCCTCATAAGGTTTTCCATAAGGTTTTCCAGAACCTGCAATGACCTCTTGTCATGTGTTTGATTCTGCTGAGCTTTTCACCTCCTGTTTATTTAGAGCTCTGTATTGATAATTTTTCTTTGGCCATTCTTTGTCGGTCATTTTAATAGGTAGAATGTCATCCTTACCTAGCCCAGAATGAGCTGATAGCTCACTGCCAGAAACGAGGGCTGGTTGTTACTGCCTACAGTCCCCTGGGTTCTGCTGATCGCATGTGGAAACACCCAGATGAGCCTGTGCTTCTGGAGGAACCTGGGATCAAAAAACTGGCAGAAAAATACAAGAAGTCACCTGCACAGATCATCCTCAGGTAACATTTGAGAGAGGGTGGCATCTGGGACCTGGCCTTAAATAAAGCAGAATACAAAAGTTTGAAGGCATCTACTTTAGAATACGTGTTTTTTCCCCTGTTAAGTGGGGAGCTAGAATCAGAAAGTGCTAAAGCCCAAAAGCAAACCCAACTGCTGCTTGTTTTAGATTTGCATGTGGCCAGTTGCTTGAACCTTACAGCTCCTGCTACTGCATTTAAAAGAGCTCTAAGGAAGAGACTGTGGAAGGGGCTTACCTTCCTTCACAGTGAAGAACTGTTTGCTGCTTTGTGCTCAAGTAACAGAAGCTGTACTGAGAAACAAGGTGGTTGAGTGATATGCAGAATGTGATCAGCACTTTGTCAAGTAGCATTGGGTTTCTATCCTCATTATTTTGTTTGGCTTTGTATCTAGAACAATCTTGGGCAGCAGTAAGTTACCCTGCCAGCCGAACACGCTGAAGGCTTTGTTCTCAAGTCACCAGAAAATCACTTGGGGGGTTGTGTGTTTTACTATTTTTTGGTGGTCATGATAGAATTGATGTAAAACTGTTATGTACATTTTTCTATTTCTTGGGTTTGTGGCTCAACACCTGAAAACTGTTTGCTTGTTCAAAGGAATGGACATCTTCCTTTCATCAGTTGTCTGGTGGCCGCTCTTTTGCTACATCCTAATACAATACTATGTTGGTCTTCTTCAGGGTATTTTGTTTGCAGAAACCATAAGTGGCATCTCTGCTGCCACTGATAATTGTTGAGCCAAAATAAATGTCAGGATTCTTGGGCAGCATGCATAGAAAATCTCGCTCTTCCCTCCCCACAGATGGCAAACGCAGCGTAAAGTGGTGACGATTCCCAAAAGCATCACTCCTGCTCGCATCCTGCAGAATCTCCAGGTAAGCTCAGACAGAGATGGGGAGTCTCAGCAATGTCCTTTCATGTGAGTAACATACTGTCCTGCTACAACGGTCTGAGACACGTGCTTTATACCACTCAAAAGTATGCGTGTGCATAGGAGGAAGTTAAAGATGCTAGGAAAACAAAAAAGTTTCAAGCAACATCGTGCATTTGTGTACAGAAATTACTGGAACACTGACTTGCAGTAATTCAGTGGGTTTCTTAATCACCTCCTGTGATTTTTTTTCATCCCTTAGTCAGACTGGCAGGTTGCATGCTTGTTTTTAAGCAAGGATTTGTTTCTGCAGCTGTTAATTCCATTAAACCAAAGTCTGAGATGCAGTATGCTGCTAGAAAGTGCAAAAAACTCCAGTGAACGCTGCAGTCAGGCAAGGTTTAGAGGGAACATTTGGAAGAACAGTCCCACTGTTCTTCATTTTTGTGGAAGAGAGCTGTGCAGTATTGGTGGTGGTTTAGAATTGGCAAGGATATGAACACTTCCATTTTTAAGCTTTTGTTTCAGCGTTTCTGGTGAAATTTATTTACTTGCAACTTCATATTTATAAACTGAACACAAAGTAATGCTGTTAGAAGCCAGAGTTTTTACAGGTGCACAACTTCCACTGTACAGAGCTGTGTGTAAATTCCTTCTGCTCAAGGCCAGGACTTTTACCAAAGTCCAAGATTCTTAAGGTGTCTGAAATGTAACAACTGGCAGTACTTTTCATTGGGTTTTAACACTAGGATCTTGCAATTCTAATATGGCTTGTAGGTTGTATTTTTTGAAAACAAAAAAGAAACATTATGCAACTGCAGCTTAATTTGATGGTGTGCATGTTGCCTCTGGTTCTTAACTGTCACCTGAAATTAAATGCTGAAATAGTTCAGTGTGTCACTGCTGCTGATACGTTCTGTCCTGGATTGCTGAGGGGTGGAATTTCACTCTGCAGAAATTCATGACCCAGGGGGATGTTTGTGGCTTCTAAAGGAAACAAAACCAAGAGGCAAAATTCAACAGAATTCAATATGAAAAGTTATACTGAACTAAGGCTCTTGCTTTTGTTCTTAGGTGTTTGATTTCAGTCTCACAGAAGAGGAGATGAGCCATATTGGAAGCCTGAACAAAAAATGGCGTTACATTGTGCCAATGCTTACGGTAAAATCCTCACTCTCTATTACTTCTGACTATGTGCATGTGGCCACAATGTGGGTTTTCTGTAGTTTTCTTTTTCTATATCCTGTCAGAACTACGTATGAGTTAGAGCATTACCTCTGTTTAGGGTATCTAAGCTGAAATAATTTTTCAAAAGAAAAGCTTACGAGAGCTTCAAGGCCATGCTTTTACCTGTAGGACGACTTGTGTGTGTGTAAATGTAAATTCCCACATCCCTGCTATCAAAATTCTCTTTGCTCATGGGTTGGGAGTTTGTACCAAATTGCCAGCTTAGCTGCTCGTGTGTGAATGTGGTAGTGACAAACACACCTGCTGCTGACAGGATGTTTCTTTCAAGAGTTTTCCTACTCGTGCTGCAAAGTTGTTTTTTGGTAACAAAGCTGCAAAAAGCATTTGAACATAGCCTGGCTCGGACTATCCAGGAACAATGTGTGTGGTTTTGTTAGCTGGGAGATGTGATCAGATCAATGACACACAGAGAAGAGATGAAATACAGTTCAAAGTTCTAGCTCTTCCAGCTAGATAAAGGTGTGAGTGTGATGCAGCTGGGCTTCAAAGATGTTGCCATACTGACAGATAGTAAGACAGGAAGAGGCGAGATGAGAAATGTTACGCTAGCTGTAAGATCTCAAGCGGAGCCTTTTGTCTCCAGCCCATCCCTTCCAGGCGCATCAGAAAGAATTTTCATCATCTGTGAATTAAAATGCCTGTCTTAACCTTTCATGCCTGTTTCCTTTATGAATCTAATTTATAGTGTCTGGATTTCAAAGTGTGATGTGGCAGTGTCATAACTGATGAGACGATTTTCCCTTGCTTTACCTCGCTGGTACATGACCACAGAGTTTCGTAGCTGTGCCACTCCTCTTCACCTTGTTGTTTTGCTCTAAGTTTGGTGTGAACCTATTATATTGCATGTAGGCAGTTCAAGACGTTTTACATTTGAACAGATCATACCAGGATAGAGGCTGGAAATTGTTTAGCCATACCTGGTATCAGCCTGACATCCAAACTTCTGGAAACACAAGCTAAGAAATATACATAAGCAAAATTGAATGACTAGCAAGCCAGAACAGGAGGAGAGGTGGTGCTGTACACATAATCTGTCCTTTCCTGATAGCTGCTGTTGATCTACAGTGTCTTCGCTGCTGATTTACTCCCTTTGTCCTTCAGATTCCTGGGGTAGTCTGGAAACAGCTGTATACAGCATTGCTTCTGGCAGCTGCTGTTTTGACATGCAAACAAATACAGATACCTGAAGAGCTGATCCGAGTAGGGAAAATATGCAGGAGAAAGTAACTGGGACAGGAGGAGGTGGGAGAGATAAGAAACGTGAATTCTAGGAACTTGCAGTTGTTGGCTCTCAGAAGCATATGAGAAAACATGAAGATAGTTTTGTCCATAGTTTTAAGTACTGCCTTCAGCTGACAGTTTCATTTCACCTTAACTTTATTTTAAACTGAGCACCAGCTGAATATTAAACCGTAGCATCCTGGTTTTGTGCTCTCGAGTGCCCCCAGGTGACTATTTTCACACTCCCCTGGTTCTTGTAAATAAGGATTCCAGTCGCTTTGAAATGTGGGATTTAATCTGAAAGCTAATAGAGGGATTTGCCAGAAGATACTTGATGTGAAAGTACCTGTGATTGCCTCTGCCCCCATCACATTTTGAGTGATATCGAACATCACAGTAGTGTAAAAATCACACGTATAAAAATCAATCATGTGTCTAACAGGACTTTTACTCAGCCATTATGTGCTTCGTATAAGTTTTAGCTGAATGATGCTACTCACTTGTGGAGATGCATCTCCTTGCTGATGCTGCACATAAATTTCCTCAAACATCACAGATTAGGAGCAAGGTTTTACTCCAGCTCCCAGTAAATAGGGATTTTGCAGTGGACTTCATACACCTAGGAATGCAATTTGTGTGTGTGTGCTCAGTGTTGGGACATAGAAACTGAGACTTCTGTGTGCCTACATCTGCACTGGGCCACGCAAAGTCTTTGTTTCATTATCAACAAATGTTAGTTTCAGTATTTCCATTTTACAGCTGGAAAAAACTGGTTAGTCATGAAAATGTTCTTATAGTTGGTGTGTTATTAAAAAGTGCGAGGAAAGAGTTCAGTGACACTGGTGTTTCAGAGTATGATCCATGTGTTAAACTGGCAGTCCATCAGCTCCGTCATGAAAAGATGGACAAAAGTGCTGACTTCTGCAAAGTGCTGTGAAGCATGCACACTGCAGCAGTTATTCAGTCATGGCTACCAGGCAAAATGCTTAACTACTCTTAATTTGGTTCTTCAGTCTTAAGAAGCTGGAAGAGAGACTCTTGCTATAGGCTACCAAAAAATATTTCTTTCTAGAATTGCTAAGAGGACTTAGGAGTAGAGGGAACAACTCTTGATTAAGCTCAAGAAGATCTCCCAGATATTTGACATATGAAGATTTACCAGTTGAAACCATTAGAATTTGAAAGAGAGAAAGAATGGATGTTTATCTTTCTGACATGTGTCTGTCTGCTTACTTCACAGGTGAATGGAAAGCCAGTACCAAGAGATGCGGGACACCCCCATTATCCCTTCCACGATCCCTATTAACTACTTGAAAATAAGGTGCTAGAATAACATGCTCCTCTATATACTTTTCCTACACAGTAATTAGTGCCATAATTTGTCCAAGAAACACTCAGCCCCATCTATACAAAACCTTTCTTCCCGAGTAGGCTTTCTTACAATGTACTGCTTTTGATTAACCTTCTTTCTGGAGATCCTGTAGCTTCCATGTCAGAGTTTGTGGATTTATTACAATGACTGCAAGCTTGTCCTGGGGAGCATCAAATCTTTTGGCATTAGATAAAGAGTGGGAGAGTCTAAATTGAGTTCCAAACATCGTTACCAGGCAAGGGCAGTGCTTTGGGTCTGCCTGCTGAACGGTTTTGAAATCTTTATTACCATAAGTGGGGAAAAAAAAAGGAAAAGCATTTTCAGACTAAACAACTGCTCAGCTATCAGCTTCAGTATCTTCATTAATACTTTATACAAGGAATACGGTGAAATGTGCTGCAGTTGCACTTTGTCCATAAAACATTGGTTAAAACCCAAGTTGCCAGCCATACTGTGTGCTTTTTACCCTCTTTGGAATACCTGTGGGATTTAAAACTCTCTCCTCTTTTCTTTCTCTTTTAATTTGTCTGTTGATTTGAGGAGAATAAATGCGTGCCCTTGGAGCAGGCCTTCAGGGCAAGCATCTCCACTGCTTGCAGCATGGATAGCTCTCAGACCTTCCTCTCCCAACAGCCTCAATACTATTAAGCCTTACAGAAATCCATCCTACCTTTCCCATGAAGCTGTCCTGTGTCTCTTTACCAAAGATATGCAGTCTGAGTTCTGGGAGGTGGCGCGGCTCTTTCCTGCATGTACGGTTATAAATGAAGAAATAAACTGTCAGAGCAGCCCTTCGTGTCAGTGTGCCTGACGTCTGCCTGGGCTGCCACAACAGGGCCCTTACCTGCTCCCCTGCTTTCCTGCCTGCTGTGTTGCTGATTTTCTGAGCGCTGCTCAGGGCCGAGCAGGGCTGGAAGGCTGCACCGAAGGTGTTTTGTTCCGTTTCAGCCCTTCACGACCAGCCCTGCCATCGGAGTACGAACAAGCTGAGCTCTGAAAATACACGCAGCTGCACGGTGATCCCACCTGCGGCCTTAGCAGAGGAACCGATACTTTATTTTGGTTTTCTCCGCTTGTTAGACGATCGGTGCCGGCTTGCTTTGGCACGGGCACAGCCGCGGGGTTTCTTAGGGCCTTTCGTAAGGGACTCTCAGCCCCGACGCCGTTCGCAGACGGCCATAGCCGCGCACTGCCTCGCCTCACGGGCACGCTGCGGGACTGCAGTTCCCAGCAGGCAGTGCGGCGGAGCGACATTTCCCGCCGGAACGGTATTTCCCTGCGCTCCGCCTCACCCGCACTACACTTCCCAGCGCGCTGCGCGGCCTCGCGACGGCGACTCCCCCGTGGGACTACAGTTCCCAGCGGCCCTCGCGCGGCGGCGCCCTGAGAGCCCCGCAGAGTGCGGGCGCGCGGCATGCTGGGAGCGGTAGTCCCCCTACGGCGTGCGCGCGCCGCCAGGCGGGCCGGGGCGTGTCCTGGGGGGTATATAGGCAGCCGGAGGGGTAGGGGGCTGCACTCTGCCGCCGCCGCCCCTCTCTCCCGTAGCTTCCATGCAATCTTCGGCCGCCGCACGCTGCGTTGAACCCGGGTCGGTCGCCTCGGATAGGTAGGGCCGCGCGGGGAGGCCCGGGCGCGTCCAGGCGGGCGGCGAGGGGAAAGGGGCCGCTTCGACTCCGTGCGGGCGACCGCGGAGGCGGCGGCGGGCGGCCGGCGGGCTCCCCCGCGGCGGGGAGGGGAGCGGGGCCGGGGGTGCCGGGCGGGCCGGCCGCCCTCTTCCCGTCGCCCTCCCCCGCGCGGGGGTTCGCGCTGCCCCGCTTCGCCGGGGCCAGCCGGGCCCGCTCGGCTCGCGCGGAGCCACCACGTGATCCCTGCGCGGCCGCTGCCATCTTTCTTGGGGGCAGCCGACGCCGCCCGACCCGCCCGGGCGGGGTGGACCGGAGGGGAGGGCGGTGGGAGGGCGCGGTCACGTGGCGCGGGGCCCTCAGCCCGTCAGGAGCCGCCGTGGGGTTTGGCGCCAACGGTGGGGGCGGGGCGACGGGAAGGCGGGAAGCGCCCATTGTCTGAGAGGGGCGGCCGGACCGGGGCCGCCCGTCAGCACCCGGCCCTCTTCCGGCCCTGCCGCGGCCGTCGGCGCCGTTCCGAGGCCGGCCCTCGCGCGTCCCATCCCGCTCACAGCTCGCTCCGCCCGCGCAGGATGGAAGAGGACCTGGCCGCCCCCTCCACGTCCGCGGACGGAACGGACAGGTGAGGCCCCGCTCCGGGCTGCGCCGTGCGGCTCCCGCGGATCCGGCCGAGCTGCGTCAGCCCGCCCGGCGCCTCTCGTACCCGTAGAAGCTCACAGGGCCCCCCGTTGGGCTCCTTTTTGCAGCGTGGACGTGGACGCGGAATCCAAGAAGCTGCTTGGGCTGGGACAGAAGCACCTGGTGATGGGGAACATCCCGGCTGCCGTGAACGCCTTCCAGGAAGCTGCCAGCTTGCTGTGAGTAGCGGAGCGCCTGGTGTTTGTACCTGCGCTGCCGGGCGTGGGGAAGGCTGAGCTGGTTGCGGTGCTGCTGTGGTTACGGCGCCGAGGGGAGCGCAGGCTTGTGAAGTTAACTCAGGTGCGGGACAGCGTGATGGTGGGTGTGCCGTCTTGTGCTGCAGTCCCCGAGGGAGGAAAAGGGATCTGATGTCTTCTTTCTCCTGGCGAGGCTCTGATGTGATCTGTTCATATGGGAGCAATGCAGTTGTGTCGCTTGCTCAGTCAGTCTCTGAGGGTGATGCTTCTTGGATTCTTAATTAACTTGCTCTGCTGGACGCTTCTGAGAGCCAACTCTGTGTAAGCGAGCAGGGCTTTCATCCTTCCTTCGCGGTGCTGAGTGAACCATGAAACTGCTGCTGTCCAGAAGCTTTTGTCTGTACAGCTCAGGTATCAAATCCTCGCAATGAAGCACAGGCAAACAATGCTTTGTTACTTTTGTAGGGGTAAAAAGTACGGTGAGACAGCGGATGAGTGTGCAGAAGCTTTTTTTTATTATGGAAAATCGCTCCTGGAGTTGGCAAGGTATGCTAATGGTTGTTTGTTTACAGTGGCTGTCCTCGAATGCATGGTGTGCTTCCTTCAGGGGGTTGGTTTGTAGCTGAGCAGTGACTGTATGCTTCTTCCTGAAGGGACTGGTTTAAAGCTTGGTAACTGAGAATGAAAAATGCTGCTAGGAATAATGCTTCTGGTGGAAAACAGCTATGCTGCTTTGAAATCTGATAACATACTGTGGTTTGTTCTTTGCTATTTAAGCAGTGTTTCTTGGTAGCAGTGCTCTTCCATGGCACAGAAGACAGTGATGGTTTTCCTCCAGAGCAGTATGGACATCTGCAACATTAGTAAATAGCTTCATCTCATAAGCACCTGGTGTGTCAGGGAAGCATGTAACACTCAGGCACCCAGAGCCTGGCTGGGGCAGTGGGGCTTTGTCCCTTGGTGGGCAGGGTTATGCTGGGTGGAACGTGCTGTGGTGGTGCAGCTTCCACAGTTAAAGTGATGTAGTTACGAGAGCCAAGTGATAATGATCTCTTCCTTTTAGAATGGAAAATGGTGTATTGGGAAATGCCTTAGAAGGGGTGCAGGTTGAAGAGGAAGGAGAAAAAGCTGAAGATGATTCTGCGTTGCCGGCTGTTGATGGTATGTAAAGTTGTCAGCTGTGTCACAGAGGTACAAGCTGTGCTTTTGTCTGACTGGTCTAAGTCAGTACATGGTGTCCTGGGTAGTCAGAATCATTCTGTTGAAACTTCTGCAGCCAAAATGGATTTTTTTGGTCTTCTTATCTTGCTTAAAGATGAACAAAACTCCTGCAATGAACTTATTGCTTAAGCGTGTGTCAGGGGTCACCAGATGTCTGTGTTCTGAAACGCTGCATTCAAGCTTGCTTTCTTAAGCTTCAGGGTCAACTTGAACTGCTTTGTAACCTTGTAGCAGTACAGTGTGTGTAGCAGGACAGGTCAGTATTGAAAATATCCAAGAACGATACTTGCTTTGTGCTGGGCAGCTGGAGATAATGCAGGAATTCCTGTAATCCAGACTATTAAAACACTGGCATCTCTTGCTTAGCTGCGACTAAAATTGCTAGCGCAAACTGCACACTGCTTGAGCAGCTGCTTGCAATAATGCAGTCTGGGGAAGGGGTTTGCTTAGTTTGAGTTACGTTGGTTGCATCCCATCCTAATTCCTTGTGTTCTGAAAAAAGAGCTTTTAGGAATGGAATGCCATCTAACCTGATGACAAACCAACACTGGAGGGTCGGAGGGTGGTATTATCAGTGCCCGTTAATGTCTTTATCACTAAACTCGAAGAAATGTTTATGCTTCCTCAATCATGTAGAAGAAGCAAGGGAGGAGTTAAGAGAACAGGTATATAATGCCATGGGGGAGAAAGAAGAGGTGAAGAAGTCTTCAGTGCTAACTGAGAAGGAAATCAAAGGAGAGGACGTTGAAATGGAAGATGTTACAGAAGAAAAGCTAAAAGAAGACGCAGTTACAGATACGGAGGTAAAGCTTGAAGGGTCTGAAGAGAAGACAGGGACTTCTGTGGAGAAAGGAAATTCAGAAGAGCATGACAAGCAGACAGCTGTGGAAGAGAATGCAGAAGAAGCAGCTGTGGAAGAGAAGGCAGTGGAAAAAGAGCAGAACACACGTGAAGAAGCAGAGGCAACTGAGGGGAAGAACAGCATGAAGGAAGTGTTGGATGAGGAGGTGAAGGCAGCTGTGGAAGAGGATGAAGCTGCAGAAGCATCTGCAGAAAAGAAGGGAGGGGCAGGAGAGCAGACGGCAGAAACAGCAGAAACAACAGAAACTGAGACAGTTGTGGAAAAGGGAGAGTCTATAGAAGGGCAGACAGAAGTGGCTGTGGAGGAGAAGGCAATGTCACAAGAAGGGGCAGCAGAAGGGCAGGCAGCAGTTATGGCAGAGCAGAAAGAAGCTGCAGAAGAACAAGCAGAAGCAGCTGAAAAGAAGGTGGAGGAGAAGGAGTCGGTGGAGGCGGCTCCGGAACAGAAACCAGGTGAATCTAAAGAGATGGATTCCTCAAAAGAGCCTATGTCTGAAGTGGGTGAAGATCCAGCTAATGTTACAGGAGAAAAAGCTGAAGTGGCTGCTAAGGTAGAGAAAGAGGAAAAGAAAGATGACCCGATGGAAGAGAATGAAGGTGCTAAGGTAGAAAAAGAAGAGAGAGATGACCAGATGGAAGAGGGAGAAGGTAACAGTGAGAAGAAAAGTACTTGTGGGTGGATGACTTGCTGGATTTGGCTAACCGTGGGTAAAATGTTCCATTCAGAATTTTCTGTTTGCCTTAAAATGAGGAAAAAGGGGATTTAGAAGGATTTTATATCTGAGTAACTGGTTTCAGTAAAGTTTCAAGAAATAGAGAATCATCTCAGTTTCTTTAGACTAACGCTTAACTAACTGCAAAGCAAATCTGTAAAGCAAACTTACAGCGCTGTGAAATGTGTAAGTAAAGGCTAGGCTGGTGGAGAATACTGAATGGATGTTCCTTGCATGTCTGGGTTTAATGCACTAACCTTCAAATAACTCACGAGTTGCCTCTGGTTATAACCATACTTTAAAACAGTGGAGCAGAAAAATAAGAAGTGCTGAATATATAATGAAGTGATAAATTTGCTTTCCAGAGGGCAGGGAGTAACTTTCTATGCGAGTCTTCCTAGCAGTAATTGAAAGTGAGAATTTGGCTGATGAACCTAAATTTAATTTACCTTGGAACCTGCAGATTCACTGCTTCCATCTAGTGCAGTTCTGCAGGTAC